CGTATAGTTGAGGGATTAAAAAAGTGCAAAAAATTGTTGAAGGACCAAAAATGTACAACTCACTAAAGTTGAGGGACCAAATTTAGCATTTAACCTTTTTTTTTCAATGCATTGTTGGTTTCTGTTATCAATATCTAGGTTTGCGCTGGACTTTCATCCCGTCTTCAAGAATACAAATCTGAGAATGCACAGATGGAGGAAATTCTTGTTGCAGAGGTGAAAGATTGTAGCCTTTTCACTTTGGATCAAACTTTAATCTATATGCGTTATCAATGCTGTTTATCAGAGTACCTTTCAAGATACTATCATTCTACTGTAACAGAGTCAGCTCACTAAATCATACAAGGCTCGCATACAGCAGTTACAGCAAGATTTATCCTCATCAAAAGGTGAAGTGACAAGGGTAGAGATGAACATGGCTGAGGCTTTGGCAGCAAAGAACTGAGATTGAGGCTCTAGTCAATACTACAAATGCACTTAAGAAACAGGCTGTATTATCTGAAGGAAATCTGGCATCATTGCAGGTTTGTGACACTTCAACTTTTCAACTGTTGATGCATGGCACCCACTTCGCAAATGTGGCATGTGCCTGATACGATGTCTAAAAGAGTAGAAATTTGTCAATTATGAAATTTTTATTTTAGAAGACTTAACATCTACTAAATTAATGATAGTAACATAATAAAGACCCAACTTCATTATAACCACGTGGCTTATGTTGTGGCTTTGAGATCTTTTACTTAGTTGATTGAAGAAACAAGGTCCGTCTTAAAACTGTTTGTTCTGATTTTTTGACAGAACATGCATCATAAACAATTTATTAGTCCATTACCTTTTTAAAAAAAAAAAAAAAACAAAAACAATTTATTAGTTTCCAAGCTTAATAACAACCTAGAGCTTGTGACTTATTTCTGTCAGTCAAGTTTTTGTGTAGTCTACCCAAAAGGTTCACACCCATGTGGTCTATGCCCTTCTAGAGGACCATGAGAGCTTATGTACTGCTTAACCATGCTAGCCTCTAGTTTTGATAGCTTTACTCCTTTTCTTTGGCTTTTATAACTACACCTCGTTTCCCCCCATTTTCTAGAGAAATTAATTGATGCTCTTAATTTTTGGCCTTTGTTTAATGTGGTGGCTTTATTGACACTTGGATTGCCATTAGGTGAATATGGAGTCTATCATGAGAAACAGAGAATTAACAGAGACAAGGATGATGCAGGTACTGAGTTTCTTTTCTTGTTTGCATCATTCTTTATTGGATTCTGATCATATCCTAAGATCAATTGTTAATTAATATGGGTATTATTCTTAACTAGGCTTTGAGGGAAGAGTTGGCTTTTGCTGAAAGGAGAGCAGAAGAAGAACGTGCAGCACATAATGCTACGAAAATGGTTGGTGCTCGAAATAATTTTTTATTATTCTTTTTTTTTTTGTAAAAGTACATTCTAATAACATATATCTGTTAAAACAGGCAGCCATCGAAAGGGAAGTGGAATCGGAGCATGGGGCCATTGATGCAGCCACAGCCCTTGCTAGGATTCAGGTAATGTAAGGACTCATCACATTTGTGACTCATGGAAAAAAGGAAAAAAACCTTTGGGCCACAGTCTTTTTTGCTTGGTGTTTAAAAAATGAAACTATTACACATTCAATATAGGTCTCTGCTGAATGTTTTTTTAGTGATGGCAGTAGAACCCCACCTCACATTGGATGTAGTTTTATAGTCCCTATCCCGCATTTGTAGAGACATGACAACAAACAACACATTGTCCTAACCCATCTTATTTTCTTAAAATACAAAAACATGTGGCTCTGATTTATAGCAAATGCAAAATTTCATCAAATTTCCAAATTCAGCAAAAGTCTACAATATGTTAATTTTATAGGGTTGGC